TCAGCAATTGTGTTCTAATAAATTCTATATTAACAACCTCATGTCTGCTTATTGATGAAAAACATTGAATTACATTTGAATTGTTGTTATAACCACGACAGTGTGAGGATTTTACTATTAAATCTCGACAGTTGTAGTGGGTTGTGAAGCCCTCCTTTTTTGGAGATAAGTGTAAGTGCACGTGTAGCGCACTGGTTAAACGCTGCCTGCAGTACACACGAGATCGATTCCCACGGCCACGGCCCACCAAGCCCTCCATCCCTCGTGGGTCGGCAAATTGGTAGCAGACTTGTTTGGGAGGATAGCAGCACTGGCTCGATACATCGGTAGGCCACCGCGAGTTATTGTAAAAGCCAGACACCCATTCAATCACCTCCAAACGATGCTTAATGAAGTCGAATGCACGGCGCATCCCTCAGAGATTCGTCAACGCCGAGAGCTTTATCCCTTTATCGTTCAAGTGTAAGTATTAGTTAGATGGTGAGTTTATTTTTGATATTGACAGTCACTAAATTTTCTGGAAGGTGAAACTTTTTCCGGATGATAACCACTTCATCTGAAGTTTTTTGACTGATTGGTCGATGATGGAAGTAAATTTACGTCCGTTAATGGAATAGCAACTCAGCTGTTTTATGTCTTCCTACAAGTTTATAGTTTTCGTTATTGGAAAACACCTTACTAACTTTACATCTTCATGTTATGCTATTGAAAGTTATTAAAGACGTTGATTTCTTGCGTACAAGACGCTTGTCCAAAATTACAGCGGCTATTTTTACTGTTACTATGTTCGTTTCATTCTCTATATTCAGGTTCTCATATTTCTTTATCACTTAGAATTCGACGTGAGCTGATTTCTACTCATACGGTGCAAACACAGTGGCCTCTTTCTAACATATTTCAGCTCATAGTAAATTTTACTCCTTGAAGTAAGAAGCATTAGAATCCAAAAACTCTTGCGTGCAGGATAAAAGCGCTGTTGGTTTAACATGATGAAATCCTGGCTTTCTGCAGTCCACCAAGCCTGTTTTGTGCACTTTTTTGTGTCGTCGACGTTCGTATTTCGAAAATGAAAGAAGTTGAACAAGCGTATATCGTCGAGTAGAACACGACAATGTCCCCCAAGCGATAAAGAGAAAAACATCTCGAAGACGCATCTCTTTATCGCGCATCTACTGAAAAGGAATTCAGAAGTCAAAATCGAAAACTGAACAGCGAATGGGTCAAAACGGCAAGCGCAGCAGGTTTAAAACCAGCAGACATTTCGCATCTAAAGATCGAAGTGCCGACATGTCCCGTCCTATACTTACTTATCAAGACGCATAAGTTAATATGCGCTGATGATCTGGCGTCTACCGACCCCTCCACTTTTAAAGTGAGATCCATCATCAGTTGTGTAGACGGGCCTACAAATACAAATTGCTTGGTTTATAAACTTAATCCTCAACCAGTTGCTTAGGTACATACCAGTCCATCTTACGAACACCCAAATGTTCCTAGACCGTCTGCGTAACGCACGTTCCAAAAGCGCGTACGTTATGGAGTCGCTCGACGTTACCGCCCTTTACACTAACGTGTCGAACGACTCCGCAATGCAAGCCATCCGTGAGCTTCTTGAGAAACACGAAGGAGCAATTAACATGTATGGCTTTTCGATTCAGCAGCTTATGGTCCTCCTGAAGGTCTGTTTAAACTGCTCGTTCTTCAGATGGTCCGGGAAGTATTACGCGCAAATTAGAGGGTTGGCAATGGGACAGCGACTGGCACCAACACTTGCCGTTGCCCTTATGTCTAAAGTGGAAGCACCAGTAATCGATCTCACGCCATTACTCTACTGTAGGTATAAAGATGATTGTTTTGTCATCTGCTCCAAACATGAGGAGGTGGACAAATGCTTTAAGTTATTGAATAAACAGTCAGAGTACATAAAATTCACCCGTGAGAAACCGAAAGAAAACTGGCTTCCATTTCTAAACCTTCAAATTAACCTATCCGAGAACGGCTACAACACAAAATGGTATCGAAAGCCAAGCAGTAAGAATATAGTGGTTCATTAACGCTCCTCTCACCCCTCACACACTAAAAGGGCGCTTGTAAGAAGTATGTTTCGAGCCGCCACCAGCGTGTGCACAGGTAGAGAGCAGAGGGAAGAATCCTCGAAACTGCCGCGGCAAATAGCCATTTCAAATGGTTAGGAAACTGTAGTTTCTCGGCATAGGCATCGAGGAAATCCTACGCCCCAGAGCGATAATTCTAGCGAAAACAAGGCTCCGTTCCTGTTGCCCTTTATTTCAAACGAAATAAGTGCAGCTATAAAACGCTGCTTAATAAGGGCCGGTCTAGAGCATTCCGTAAGAGTGATAGAAATACCACCTGACACTCTAAGACGCCAGCTAGTTCGCAACCGCCTATACGACCGTCTATGTACAACAAAAAGCTGCATAATTTGCCCAAATGGTAGAGACGGTGATTGCATGAGTTCGGGTACAGTCTATCCGATCTCTTGTAAAGCGTGCAGGCACGAATATGTTGGCGAAACGGGTAGACTGCTCTGCGTCCGCATAAAACAACACCTAGCCGGTAAATCTAAATCAAAACAAAATACTCCACTAGGCGCGCATAGGATGCAGGAACGCAACGCAGAAGATTTTGAGGTAGGAGTCACTATCCTCACGCAGGAATCAAAAAGGAATCAAAAACATCAGCGCGTAAAACTCTTGAAGCGTTTTGGATCAATGCCAAAAATTCAAAAATGAACCGCAAGGAGGAGTGTCGACATCACGCGTCACCTGGCGCCATACCTCAGGCTAATCCAATGATCTGACACAGGCACAGTAATCGCCCATGTATTACTCTGTGCGGCGGCTATCCATCAACTAACTTAAATACGTACAACCACAACGTTGCTGACATATTTGCAAAACTCTGGCCCGCAGGTGTCTATGGTGGGGAACGAACGCGCTATTGTCCTTTCCGGGGAGTAGCGTGTTTATCACCACACCATGTGGATCCTTGGGATATAGTAGGCAGACAATAAAAAGGGTATAACATTGTGATTTCAACTACAGCCGCAGCTTAACTGGGTTCTATGCCGATTTGGGCGCCCCAGATCAATCCCGCTGACGGGTGATTGCTGTGGCAAAGATCGATAGAAATAGCTGAGCGACAGGCGAAACAAGGGACCCGCATGGTGTGGTGGTGAACGCGCTACTCCCCGGAAAGATAATAGCGCGTTCGTTCCCCACCATAGACACCTGCGGTCCAGAGTTTTGCAAATATCTCAGCAACGTTGTAGTTGTATTTCGCTTAGTACTCTGCCGCGAAATTATAGTAGGCAGAAAATAAAAAGGTATAACATTAAGTACTTACAACAAATAAGCGGTAGGTGTTTGAATGAAGCTGTTTCTTATGCGAATGCAAATCGATTTGTTAAGTTTTATCTGCTGGGGTTATGAAAGTGTTTGGCTGAGTAGGTCACATTTCAGGTTGCCGACATCGTGGAAGTCACAATTCTTGAAGAGCAGCACGGTTTTGTTGCTATTCCACTGAGTAGAGACTTTGCATTTTAGCAGATAATGTGTGAAAAACTGAGCCAGTGTGTTTATGGGACTGGCGAAACGTTTTTCAAGTGTTCAAATCTTATCCTGTCCAGACACCGTGTTATTCGGTTTCTAACCGACGAAATATCATGTCGGATTTTCGAAGTGAGAACCGGTAGGATGAAGTAGCCATCCTCCTTTATTTGGTATGAGAGCAGGAGTACGTGGCTGTTGAGGAGATCTGAGTAGTAATCGTTTTCTCCATCGTCTTTCTGGACGCTGTGACTGTTCCGTCTAGGCGTGGAGTACAATCATCTTAGTTTTGCAATTGGCGAAGCTTCGGCTGTAACTGTCTTTCATAGAGCAAACGTTAAAATGTTGAATGAGCCGATCGTATTCTTCGTCGATGTTGTCAAAAACGGCATCTTCCCATCAGCCATAAGTCCAAGTTTATAGTAGTTTTGGGACTTAGTTTTTCGAACTTAGCTGCTTTTTCTCTTTTCCGCGAGAAGTGAAATCTTGCAGGAAGAGGGCGATGGTCTGGTCTCGTGGAGATTTTTGGGACAATAGCGACATCGCTTAGACGAAACCTTCAATTTACTATGATGTGGTGTATGATACTTATTTCGTTATGATACTCTCCATTGGGAGACTCCGACGTTCACTGTTGATACTGGGGCTTCTGAAATTGCGAGTTACCATGAGTGGTCTTGGTCATGATGATAAACTCGGATAGCCGCTCACCCTTCTCGTTCCATTTTAATCCGTGGATCCTAATGTGACATTCTTCTAACGTTTTTCTGGGTCCAGTCTTAGCGTTAAAATCTCCAGTTTTAACGATGAACTTGACGAATGTATGGTCTTCACGACCATGGCCAAACTCGTGTTGACGAGAACACCGACGCGGCCAATTCCACTACTGTCGCTTCTTCCGAGGAAGAGTTCTCCGGTGTCATAGAGGACGTTGAATGGGTCGCATCGTATTGTCTTGGCCAGGCAGATGACGTCGTACCTTATCTTTCTTGCTTGCATGATCAAATCTTCTATCGAAGACTTGGATGCAAGTGTGTGCGCATTGCAGGTGCAGATCTTCAGCTTGGTCCTTTACGATTTGAGCAGCCTTGAATGACGTAGAGATTTTAGCAGCCTCTGTTCTCGTCCTACCCATCACTACCGATTCATGTGCTTTCTCTGGGTCGGAGGAATGAGAGCTACTTATTTTCTTGTGTTTAGCATTTTATACCCACGTATAACTTGTTGAGCTCTGAATATGGCAAGTGGATATACTCAGAGGTGGCTTGCCGAGCTATCCCTGACTAGACGGGGAGCTTATTTGTTGGAGGCAACTCCTAACCTTCTCCCATATACTTCCCTCTCACTTGATTGCAGTCTTTTGTCCGAGTTGATTCGTAGAATACAATATGCATAAACGAGAAAGGTTACTTTAGGTCCGCGATTAATCTCCTATACGCCGCCACCTGTGGACGCGCCACGTTACCTTGCGACCAACCGGCAATGGGTCCGTCTATGAGGGAGTTTATTGGTTAAAGAACCGTAGTGACTCTTAAATAGGTAGAGCAAAATCGCTTCTAGAACCTCGTCACGTTGTAGACTCCTCTAGTATCCTAAATGTCAAAGAATTATCGGCAGTCTATGAAAAATCAGCAGCTTCGAATCTCAAGTGTTAATGACCATCACTACTTAAATTTAATATGCTTGTTCAAACCTACAGAAAATATTTTGAATGTAGTACGTTCGTATTATGTTGTGTATTGTGTTGCTCATGTTTATTTAAGAGAGAGACAGTACCTGCATCGTATTTTTTCTGTATTATTTATTTAAAGTGTGGACGACGATTTTTGTTAGCCTTCTTAGGCAGTGACGCATGGCAAAACCAACACCCAAGTAATCGATATTATGAACCATCGGAAGACAACATTCTGCTTTCATTCACAGTAACCATTCTGCTTCACGGTAAGATCAAGGCGTTTCTATTGCCGTGAACTTAGAAATTCTTTATTATAAAAGTGCGTTTCCCACTCGTTTCTATAACATCCATGTTTTAACGGCACAATTGAACACTTATTTGGTCCCTCTTCAGTGGTTGTGCGGGTACCAGCATAATTTCCACTTTTTCGGAGTCTTGCTCGTTTAGTTATTGTGGTTCCCTGGGTTCCCGAGGTCAGCCTAGCCAAAATCTGTCCAGCTCGTCACCCCCACAGGCCGTCGCCATCCTTCTGGATCAGAAAGGGATTTGCCACCATGCGACTTATTTGATGCCAGGACGGTGGTGGATCTTGGTATTGGTTTGCTCTTGGCTAGGCTTCCTGATGGAAACGCCGAACCTCTTCTCAGCTTTGGAGGTCCTGCTGGGGGGACAAATCTCCCGCTGTACATGGTACCCCGGTACTGAGGAACACCTCCCAGCCACGATGAGCCGATAAACCGTTGAGAGGGTTTTAACGACACCATCTGTTATCTTAGATGCAAACCTGTGTTTATCATCTGTTGGCTAACAAAAGAGTTGTTCATTTGTCATTATTTTCCAATGTTTTGGTAGTAAAACATTTTCGATTTTCGTCGTTTTGAATGCTGAAGATTCTGATTAATTCATGGTATGTAACATGCTATCTAAGGATGTGTATAATAACAGTATATTTATTACTAAACATGTGATTGGTAAGGCGGACATGACGACTGAATTGTCATCATAAACAAGCCGTTTTTTTATATGGTTGTATTATTATATAAACTTTTATAGGCTGTGATATGTCTACGGTGTCGGCAGGCGGTCGTCGTGCTCCACCGAAGGATTTTCGCGGGCCTCCTAGAGGTGATGTGAGAGTGATGAAACCTCGTGGTCGAGGCTATTCTCACTCTGACGTGGGCGAACCATTCATTCCACGATTTTCAGCTGTAGCCAGTGAGGTTAGATTAGAGAGTTCGGTGTCTGTTCACAACACAGTTTATTTTAGTAATCTATAGGGAGTGAAAATGGCACTACCTCCTGAGGAATACGGTGAGAATACGACTGTATTAACCGGTGTAACCAGTGAGCATTCTTATAGTGGAGATGACCGACCTATGTACGACCCTCCTTTAGGTCGTGTTGTCAGTCGTAGGTGCGTTCAAGTCATTTATTTCATTTTATTTCTTGGCATTAGTGGAGTTCTTGGAATAGTGTATTAAATGTGGCTGTGCTATTGACAGGAAAAAGGTGTTCTTTTGTTTAAATCAGTTACAATTCCTATGTATTTCTGAAAACATCACATACGGAAAGCCGTATAGTTTCTTTCTCTTACCTATATGTGAGTATAATCATTAATATTTGGACAGATTTAGTTTTAAAGAGTTTAAAAATGATAGAAGGTTTCTGTTAACCGATCTTTTCATAGAGGTGCCTGCAAACATATTTGATCCATAAATTGACGTGTGGGTGTCGACTAACGTATCTATCGAGCGACTGTTTCTATTTTTCCAGACAGCTTAGCTACATATTCTTGCAGGGATGGAGGGTTTGGTTTGTGTGGGGCCCAGCATCTAACTAATGACCACATTTGTACTGGAGAGCACCTCGGGCTATTGCGCTTCTAGGTTTGAAGGCATGAAAAATGGCCGGTGTTACCTCATTTCCTTCTTTCAGATGTTCGAGAGTGTTATGGCTCGGCGCTGCTGGCTTGATATCAATCATATCGCTCATCTCGGCTCCGTTAATGTGCTCATTACCTTTCGCCATTATTTATCTGGGATACCGTTCACCTGAAATTCACTGTGAGGTGAGTGCATTTGTGTCGACATCGCTTTCCCTTTAAGTCCGGATTTCATTTGTTTAATGCTCTTAGGTGGACTGCCAAGGATACCTACTGCTACTAGGAATTAAGACCGTTTTACTCATTGTTGCAATATGGGCAATATATTGGCGGCGGGCCGCGGCCGACCTTCCTCGATTGTAAGTGGCTTTTTTAGAGACGTCCCTTCATTCTTTGTTGGTAAATAAACCCAGTTATCTTTATTTTGGCAACTACTAATCGAAAATTTGCCATCGCCTTAGGCAAATTTGGTTTTTTGCTTCGATGGAGAAACTTGAAACTTGAAAAAAAACCAATAATCCTTTTAGGTATTTTGCTCGTGCGGCTTTAAGCTTTTTTGTATTATTCATACTATTCGCATTTTGGTTGTTCTATACAGTGCGAATATTCCTAGAACAGCATAGTAACTATACATATGTGGTATGTTTAGATTTTCTTTTTGAGTTTTGACTGTTTGAAACATACCTCATCATCATGATGTCTCTCCACAGGTTTCCTCTAGAGACATAAGCTTCTACGAAATTTTTAATATGTGTTGAATCGTTTCCGTGTAAAGGTTCAATGTCGATGCCGTGGAAGACTGTCGCGGAAAGCTGGGAGCCTCTAACCCGATGCATCCTTATGTCATTCTCAAACTAATTGTTGTTGATTAAGTCCCTGGCATATATTAGTATGCCCGTGTGTCCGTTAATGTCAGTAAATTGCTGGAAGAATTGCTTGTGAGTTGTAGGAACATACATTAAAATTTAACTTTTTGTGACTTAAATGTTTAGCTGGGTAGATTGTGGCCAACTTTACCTTTCCAGGCTCTGAGGAAGGCGAAATCCGCCGAAACGTTAGTGTCATCGCAATAAAAAGTAACGTAACACCTTGTGTTTGCTAAACAAGAATATAAAGACTTCGATCAATGCCGAGGTTAATAGAAAGTCGGTCATGGGAATTACTTCAAAATCTAACCCTATTTAATGCAATGAACCTTCTCATCAGCAGCACTTGTTCACGCAATTATTTTGTCCTGATCCTAACTGGGATTGCCTTAGCCGTTTTATTTGAAATGGCTAGGAAATCTGGATGGGTTACATCCAGCATCCACTGAAAGAAATATCTTTCTAAGGGTTAGGTACTTGTATTGATTAGGTTAAGTACTAGGTTAGATTTAGTACTGATATTGAAGTTTCATTTCACTAACTTCGTCTTTTTCGATTTTGGCCGCACTTTTCTGTTGTCATATCGAGAGCTCACCAGCAGTCTCTTCGCAACAACATATTCGGTTGACACGATCGGGTTCAAAAGCACTAGACCTTGTTATCACCTTCGTAAACATTGCTGTACTTGACAAATCCATCCAATGAATTTCAGGTGACATATGCACTTTCACTCATAGATGCCCTGTTGTATACGCACTATATCTCTGTAATTGTGCTCGAGCTTCGGCGGCTTCGTCAAGAATACGTCGTCACCATCGTTCGAGATCCAGACGGCGAATCTAAGACAATGTCTATTGGTTCGTTACTATGTTTAATGTTTAAGAAAAAAATTGTTGAACAGTTTTTTGGAACGATGGTTTAGCTTGAGTTTTAAAGTAGCCTAATGTATTGTAAGTCCTTTAACAGTATGTTTTGGATCAAGCTGAATTTTTCTGCAGGTATGATGTCGTTACAAGAGGCTGCCATTCAAGCTCTACGCTTTCATGAAACATATTTTCCTTCGTACAACGTTTTCCTTGACAAGGTAGCGTATGGTTTTTTAGCCCCCAATGTTGTGGGTGGCTAAAAAAGAATTAGTCCCTTCTGTATTTTTACTCTCTGTTGAAAAATGTCTTTTTAATCAGTTTCAGGCGCGTCAGTCGAGTCATCGGCTACGCAATTCATCTCAACCTCCAGGATTCAAGATGTACGACATAGAAGGTCTTGGAGGAGGGACAACCGAAATCAGTCAGGTTCGACGAAATCTCGCATTCAGTGGATATTTTTGTAGTTTCTGCTATAATTTCTAGAGTAACTTGCGTGCTCTTATGGAGGCCACATCTAGACGTCGCACTACGAATTATAACGATATCTTGCAGGAAGAATGCGAGTGGGAAAGGCGAATAAAAAAGAGAAAGTGAATATTTCTTAATAACTGTTTTTTTTTCAACAACCATTTAGAGTGTTTTAATTGGAAGCGTTGTCTGTTTTGATCCAGGTATCGACTTATCGCATCAGCTGAAGAAGCATTCGCTCAAGTGCAAAATATCGTGGACAGCCATACAGGGCAGAAGGTACGCCTTTTGTTTCCCTAATGTTCATCTAGGGCGTGTGTGGCGCAATGGTCGGAGGCGCTCTGCAATACACATGGGGTCGACTCTCGCGCCCCAGGGTCACCAAGCCTTCCATCCCTTCGGGGTCGACAAATTGGCACCAGACTTATGTGAGAGGACTCGACTGGCTCAATAAATCGGTAGGCCACCGCAAGTTATTACAAAGACCAGGTATGCATTCAGTCACCCCCAGCGTGCTTAATGAAGTCGAATTCATGGCGCATCCCTAAGGGATTGATCAACACCGAGAACTGTTCCCTTTTTATCCTTTCATGCCCATTTAGTCACAGTTGTATCCATGATGGTGTAATGGTAATTGGTACCCAAAGCACTCTGCGACTCTCACATTCTGTTTGGAGCTCGCAGTTAGTGCGAAACAACCCTACACTTTCCTTAAATCTTCTCATGAAATCTGTCCATTTCTCATACATAGATTGAAACAGAAATCTTTACGTGATGATTCCGTAATACTATTCTGACACATTTGTTTTTTCTTCTGAGGTCATAGCAGTCTGCATGAATTCCAGAATCTTTGCGACGTCATGGATTCCGCAACTGCTGCTCAAGGAGTTTTTGCGTGTATCATGCGTCCGTTGAACAAATACCTTAGGCAAACACGACAACAACCTCGACATCCGGCAGAGGCAGTTACTCATCATATTGAGAGGTCAGTGTTTATTTCTATGACGTTTCCTTATTCATTAGCATCCATATGCATAGAAGTCTGTAACTTCAGTGAAGATGCTGTGTGAGGAATTTACCTCCTGTTTCTAACATTTTCGATTTAATGAACTTGGTAGAATTCTGGAATAGAATACACCTAAATGTACATGCATCCACAATGTTGGCTGAAAAATCTATTATTAGTCGATCCCGATGTTCTAAGTAATTAGGTCATCACCGTTATATGTTTCCGTGTAACGGTATTCACATATTTGTGTTCTAGTATATCGAATAAACTTTAACAGTGCTGAATGAATGTAGTAAATAATGCATGAAAATATGTCAGACAACCTAGTAATGAGTTCTTCCGTTTGTTCAGACTTACTTGAATACTTGGGTGGCCTGTCCTCACTGGTTTTGCGGGCTCCAGCATGATCTCTGTTTTTTCGGAGTTTTGCTGTTTTAGCCATTGTGGTTCATCCCGAGGTCAGGTAGAGCAAGGTTTGCTCCAGGTCGTCGCCGCCCTTGTGGATCAGAGGGAGATTTGCCACTATGCGATTTACCACCATGCAACAAGTTTGATATTAGGACGGTGGCGGATCTTGATATTGTTTTACTCTTAGCTGAACTTCCTGATGGAAGCGCTGGACTCCTAACTTGGGAGGTTCTGCCGGGGGATGAATCCTCTCGCTGTACATCGCAGCCCAACACCCAGGAACACATCCCGGCCACGACGAGGCTGTTGCTTGCTGATTTATTTCTACATCAAGTCCTTAAATCATGATAGTTTTCGCTGAATTCGTAAACCTTCGTTGAGAATTTTGAGGTTTTTGCTTCCAATACCGTATTTCCTAGGTTTTACGGTTTATCGTTTTGTAGTTTTCTTCATCCGGCTTGCTGTATGCTGGTTAATATCTTGTTCTTTTTCAGCACATAGATTCAATGAACAACTAAAAATTCGTTTAGGTGTCTCAGCATGCGTATGAACTACAGAACATTCTTGCAACGATTCTTCAGTAACAGATTTCCCGCAAAGGTTAGTTGACTTTTCATTTTTATGTTTAGTTCACGGCATCCAGTATATTATTTCTTAGGATATCGTCGCGGAATCAAAATGGTCTATAATTTCTGATGAGCAAGCCTCAGTTTCAATTCAACATGGAACCACGTTCATACTTCGATCTCACAATAAGGCAAGTCTGTGGTGTTGCAGTAGACTGTAATGTTTTTTTTTTCTCTATTTTTGGAGATCTATGAAAGAACAGAGCTATTACGTAACTAAAGACTTTTTCTGTTTCTCACCATGTCACTTACCGTTTCAACCGATAGTTTTCCGATTCGCGGCTGTGTTATAACCCAAGGGTTTTCAACTTTTTCGTGTCGCACAGTGTCATATTAAATTGATGAGTGTAAGAAGGTAACGATTGAGTAGTGTTGCAATTTCTTTAGCCGTTTTGTTCAAAAGGAAATATGTTAGCAATCAAAACCATTTTGAACTTTTTTTCTCAAATTCATTAAATAAATTGGCAGCGAAATTTGGCCAGTGTTAGGCGAGGGCCCACTTAGCTTAGTAGAGCACTGCCCACGGATATTGTGCAATCTACAGGATGCTTTCTTTGTAACGTCCTCACTGTTTGCTGTTAAAAACGCTCAAAACTTATTTTGATTATCTTGAAAAGCACCACGGTCGAAAATTTGGCTTTTAGTTCCTGTCCCATGTGGCCTTACATCTTAAGCAGATGTCATTTATGTTACTTATATTCTGTGAAGTCAGTGCTTATTCTGGTTGTAGTCCTCACTCATTAATTGGGTGGTATTACTGCGCGGTTGTGTGGAGAGCTTATTAGTAAAGTAATATTCTTATCTTTGGTAAAATACACGAAATCACGAAATTAAGGACGACGATGCAGGAGTACAACTGTTATGTACAGTCAGTTCGCTGCCGTTTTTCAACCTAACAGAACAGTCTCGGTCGTCAAATAACAAATTTGCCCTGAAAATTAGGAGCGAATCGTCCGTGTAATATGTAAATGTTGGCGTGTTTGAGCTTCTTTCCTCCAACTTTTCCATCAACCAAATTTCAAAATAGATTGTTGACTGTCACTACTATTCTGTGTTTTACAGTTCCAAAAGTTTCACTATTGAATAATCTGATGGATTGACCCGTGCCTTCGAGACTGCTCTTCCCACCTATTTTAATCGTTCTTACGGTGTATTTTGTTGTCATTCCTATGTTTTCTAGCGTTTGAACGAATTAAGTCTAGGCAGTTATGGTATATATGTAGCACTTGTCCATTTTCGCTTTTACCAACATCTTTCTTTTGTTTGTAAATAATTGTTGTATTGTACTGTTAACATATTCGATGGTACTCGTGTGCTCTCACGCATATTTTGTTCAGCCTTTTTGCCGATTCTTCTCTAATGCTCTCAATTTCATGTGATCACTTCCTTTGTGGGATAAACTTTTGATTGTTTTTGCACTTTATGGCTACGATTTACTCTAGGTGATATTATACCTCCTGAAAAATTAGGTTTATAGTGACAGAGTGAGAGAGAACACCAAACCAATGCGGAGCCTCTATCAGTTGTCATTCACTCATCGTTATATAGAATAGAAGTGGTAAGAGACCAGCTTTCAATTCTCAACGAATGAGCTTTATGCAACTTTTAGAACTTGGATGCCTGGATAGCTTACTATGGCAAGTGCGGATATTTTCTGTTCATTCCGTTCTTGCCCAGTTGTGTATGCTTTGTCTATTTCGAGCGTGATCGCGTTTGTGGATTTTGTCCCGTAATCAACAGTCCTTTCTCAGCTGCGGATACAGCTTGGAGCAATGTATGCAATAATCGGCTCATATTGCATAAAGGTGGTCATTCTAAAAGTGACCTCCGTGGTGAGTGGTACTATACCGTTCTTCTCGCCTATCTGTTATCAACTGCTTCATCTAAATTATCCGTCTATCTATGGTTTAGTTCCCTACTTTATCCTGGATCTCGAACATCAGATGACTCTGAAGCATCTATTGTATTCACCATTTCTGTTAGTTTCTGCAGTGAACTGATGACTTAAAGAATTTTACACTCGTCAATGCGCTCAGTCCGCGAAAATTGTCGCTAGAGAAATCTGCTCATGGACATGAGCGATGCCTTGCCACACAGAGTTTTCCTACATTTTCTAGTTACTGGATTGCTTCCCGATTACAATTGTTGTACTCCAGGGCAGGCTAATGAGGACTATTTTCAAGAAGATAAATTTAGATTTTACGAACGCTTTTACGAACGTGTTTGTTGGTCTGGTTCGAATCCCACGACAGCTACTAGCCCTTTCGTAGTGGTATGGACACTGTGGTGTGTATACATGGCGGCGTGAATGGACAGTGTGGACTATATGGTGTCCATTTTCCAGTTCATTGGGTTTCAGAACTGGCAAATCAGTATAGTTGGTGGGGGGAGGGGGGTGAGACCAGAAAGGCCAATTTCAGCACCTAATGATAAAAAAAGATTTTTCGATAATTTACTAACAATTAGCTATTATTCCATTTTACCCACTATGGTTATTGTGTTGAATGTGCGAATATAAAAATGCTGAAAGAGATTCGACATAAGCTGCAAAATACTTCCAAATGCTGACAGTTACATGCTTACCTGATGGTCCATATTACTATGGTCACACTGTTAATAGTAGCATCCATACTGTTCACACCCATAGAACGTTAGAGTGAAGTGTTTTATACAACCATGTTGTGTTCACTATTATGTTTTTGTAGTTATCGAATAGTTATTTCTTATTGTCAAAAAACCAGAAATCCCCAGGCAACGAAAAATTTCTTATACTCCATAAGTGAGGCACAAAACGGGACGCCGTCGGCTTAGGAAGATCCTATCGCCATGGTAGTATGATAAGCCATTAAGGGAACCTGCATAGAATTGCTTGTAGTATGTCGAAGACTATAGGGGAACATAGTGTCGATCAGGACATACGCGTCAAAGTGGGTAATGTTGTTTGGCCGCCGTACGAGAAGGCGCCTAATTTCATATCGCTACGGTCTTGATGTTCTTTCAGTAATAGATAATACGTCTTCGACATGTGAAGGACTTGAGGGATTGAGAAAGTCATAGTATTGTAGAAGAGACTCCGCTGTTGCGCATTAATGCTATGCATGTTACATCGTGCTAGAGGTAACGATGGTCATCATGTGAACATATTGCTGTCAGCGCTTGGAGGTGTTCTGCAGTTTACATTAAGCATATTTTTGCATTTTTTAACTTGCCCATTCCATACAGCAACTATCACTTATCGAAGTGATTGAAAATGTAACAACGGTCATTTGTTAGCTCAGGAATCGGTCCATGACCTCGCTCAAAAAAAGCTTTTTACATTATTAGCTGTAGAAAATAGCAATGGGCTAGGCGTAACACAGCATCTGTGTTAGACAAGCTATCGCTTGAATACAAAAAATTTAGCATGACAGCGGTGAGCCAAAATGGACAGCTGGAGGCGAATTTATCAATGCTCCATCACAAGTGCCCACCCACTCACACCTCTGCCTTACACAACACACACATACACGCACACACACAGGAGGTCACGTCGCCTAGTCAATGCATGGAGTTCGTTTATGGAAAGACTGCATGTTCCCAATTCATATTTTTATCACACTTCGCTAATATGTATTCTTTCTTTGATGAGCTTACACGAGGTTGATAATGATATTTATTTATTATCGGCTAACGTTTCGACGTCTTCGTCTTCCTCAGAGCCGGTGATCCGAGTCGATGGTCCATGCTTGTTGTTCGTCTCGACGTTGCAGCTTCGCCTTCCTCAGAGCCGGTGATCCGAGTCGATGGTCCATGCTTGTTGTTCGTCTCGACGTTGCAGCTTCGCCTTTGTGTCGAGTCAGGTCTTCCTCAGTAGTCATCTTCTCGAATGAGGCATTCTCACTCAGTGATGCCATTTTATACACGATGCTGATGGTGGATATAATGATAATGTCCGGTGGTAACAACTTTTATTTCTTCCGGACATACATCATTGCGCACATCGTGCAGAAGTCGGTGTTTTTATCAGCCTGCAGGGCCTGATGATATCACTGCCTACTTGTTTAGAGCTGGAATCCACTATTTACATGTACTTTTCGCGAACCAGTTGCAGCCTTCCATTAAAAGGAAAAAATTCCAGAGCGATGGATGACGTCGCAACGGTTGTCATGTCAAAGAAAGATATCTTCGTAACTCTCGTCCGATATGCTTGCTGAGTTTGCTCTACAGACTCTTCACGACGGTTATCCTCAAGCGCATATAGAGGACACTGGATGTGGCGCAATTAGTGGACCAGTCAGGATTTTGACAAGGATTCTGCTGCATAGACCACATCCAAACTGTGTGCAGGGTCATTGAAGTTTTTCATGAATACCATCTGCTCATGGTTCTAACCAAAGCTCACTATGAAAAGACTTTTGACATTGTCGAAACGAATGCGAACCTATCAGTGCTCGTCGACAAAGGAGTGGATCCTTTCCTACATGAGCTCGGTCTGATTATTATCGGAACTGCACTACGAAAATACAGCTTTTCCATCGACCTCTTACCATACATATACGGAAACCGATTCGACAGTGTCGCAATACAGTGGATGAAGAACGCAATCCATTGAGATGAGAAAGGTATACGTAGTGCTGGAAAACTCCTATCAAACATTCGTTTCTTAGACGACATCGTCATATTTTCAAAAAGTACCAGCGAAGTAGAAACGATGATTAATGAGCCCAACGAATGCAAAAAAAAACATCGGAGCATGCATAAATCGGAAGAAGGCCTAGTTCACAAAAAACTCATGGTGCCAAGGCGAAGAAATTGAACTGGGTGGCTCTCTCACTGCAGAGACCACCTCGTACGTGTACCTTGGGCGATGAATGAACATGGAAAACAACATGATGGAGGAACTAGACAGAAGAAGGAGAGCAGCTTGGGCCGCATTCGGGCCTCTCAAGGAAGCCACCGACCAAATGAAGAAACCGAAAATTCGCCTTCACCTTTTTCGATTCTACGGTTTTCCCAGCGCTTTGTTATGCAGCACAGATGTGGTCTGGTACTTCAAGCACATCAAGAACGCCCCGCCCTACTCACAGAGAGCTCGTGCGATGTCTTCTGAAATATAATAGGCACTCTCATATATTGCCACAATGCGAAGATCTGTTCTTTGAAATCTGTCATATGTTCGGGATCCAGAAGGACACACAGCGATAGCAAGACGCAGATGGGCGACTTGAGAATAACAGACGACAGATGGGCGACTAAACGTTGGGAGGACGTGTTCGTTAGCACAGTTGATCGGCTATACTCACAGCTGTATTTTTTTTAGAGATCACGGTATGAAACTCGCATGCGCCACTATGCTCGAATAAAACCACCACCGTGGACGACGATTGCGCCGGATAGAAACGAATGGCAAATGTGCTGGGTCCGCACAACTAGTGAAGATAGACCGTCCATGTATCCAAGTATGCATATATCAATATATATCTCGTTTATATCACTTTAATCACTTGAATATGTATGACCTGTGCCACTAGTACTTCCTTCGATCATTTAATAACTCAAGCGGGAACCACTAAAGTCTCCACTATGATCCCATCCCCTGTGGCGAGCCGAAGTCTAATATTATAATCGGATCGGTGGTCTTCCTGCAGAGCATTTGACAGCCAGCCGTTGATTGCTCTTCTCTATTGTTTGTCGATCAAACGCTTCACTTTCCGACACCACCTAATTTCCTACATTTCGAAGTACACCACAGCTCCTCTTATTTTTGGATACTTAGGAAAGAGGTTTCCAAACATCACCTTTGGATACGTAGAATTATGGAGTTTAAATGATGGGCAACGAGTCAAGCATTCTTCGTTCTCGATGATGTTCAAGGCTGTTCAATCCGTTCAGTACCCCCTGGCAAACCATGGAGTTAAGTCACTCATCATGCTGATTATAGCTAGATATACGTCGCTGGAGCATTCAGACATAAAAACACCGTTAAGCGTGAATGGAGCAGCGAAAACCCGTTCTCTGCGGAGACCAACCTTCTCACAGGCGTTGTGGAAGTCTGCCAGCATTGTTTCAGCCTTTCTGTTACTTGGTTCCTTGGTATTTATGGCATTATATCGGTAGCAAATCGAAGGTGGTGTGAATGCTGCGCATCGACATTTACCGCTATGTTGTTCCATTCCAACGTTCACAAAGCGTCCTGGTGGGTGGCGGTAAATAATTTTGGCGTAATGGTATCTCCTTGAATAAGCTCTCTTTTTACGTCGATGCTAATGTCATTATAGAATAGTGATGTATTAGTTCCGAAACTCTTATATAGTTCACGAAGAATCTTCACATAATCTTAACCGTTTTATTTACAGCCTATTCTTTTTAATGGCAAGGTATATTGCGAAATATAACTTCAATGATGCTGAGTTATTTGCAAAATTTCGGACCGCAGGTGTGTGCGGTAGGGAACGAACGCGCTATTGTCCTTTCCCGCGACGAAGACCGTGTTTATTTCTTTTCAAAGTAAACTTCCGTCCAGATCGCTAGTTGTTTTAAGGGATCCGTGTTCATTACCTAGTTCGTGTTGATAAGATCATCATCGGTGTCGCCTCCTATACTAATACATTATCCGAATAATTCTATAAAGGAATTAGCTAACACGAGGTTGGTGTAAAACTATTATTCGGCTAGCGTTTCGGTGAGCAAGGTATTTTTCACACCAGCGTTCATCCGAGTCGATGGTCTATCACGATGTAGATGTTTATGGCCATACTGAGTCAAATTCAGTGGACTGGGCACCATTCGAATGAAGAATCGCACTCGGCGTTACCCTTTTGTACAAGTCGGGTGTTGATCGAGGAAGGCGAAGACGCGGGACGTTAGCTGAATAAAAGTTTATGCCAACCATATGTTAGCTTAATCGTGTAGAAAACTGTGGATCTAGCTTCGCTTACCAACTATGGGCACCACCGAACAATCAACTCTTTCCTTTATCTACTATGGATTCTTGCGAGGCTACGCTGAAATAGTTCTCACAGACGACATCAGCTTCGGCAATGCTCAGTAGTTCAAACACATCGAATCAAACAACGTGAGATTTGAGAACGACCCTGAGTGAAATACCCGTCTACAACTGATGAGGAAGCGATGACGAAGACTTCTAATCTAAAGCCGTATGCTACCACAAAATTATCCACTATGCGACTACATTAGCATCAGAAACTATCTAAATCTTAAGCTGTCGGAATACTATCCGACTGTTCTTTCTTTTTCCAACATTATGTACGTTTACCAGCATTTTTAAGAGTTTTGATTAACCATCAGCTTACAGAATCACCTGCACTCGCCTTCTTTTCTTGCGTAGAAATAACGATCTAGAAGAAACTGTTACTGAGAATAAGCTTTTAGACTAAGAGCCAGTCAGATACGTCATTTGAACTGTGTTCGCTCCAGTGGTCTCAACTCAATGCCACTACGAATTAAATTGCGAGAACGGTTATACCATCTTCGCTTTGCTGATGAGATCGTCCTTATAACACCAAACAGCAAAGCGGAACGAATGCTGGCCGACTTTGATAAAGCCTGTGGATTGGCTTTCGGCTAATTTTCAAAAAAAGACGATGTTCATGAACAATGGATTGGTTTCGTATGTCCCATTTACGCTCGACGATACGAATAACTTCTATCGGGAAATCACTATGATGAACGACTTAGTTCTAGAGTTGAACAAAAGGAAATGAGCGGCTTGGAGAGTTTTCAAGAGCATCGAGGATGTAGTAAGCAGAACAAAGGACACTCGACTCCGTGCTCACCTTTTCGACTCAACGGTACATCTTGTGCTAATATTCGAGCCAAAAACCTGGTCGCAACGTAAACAGGATGGGAAGTCACTCAATGTTATTGAACGCGCAGTCGAAAGGACTGTGCTAGGAGCGTCCCGTGTCACGCAAGTAAGGGAAGGGATTCGAGACTCCGAAGACCACCTACCCCATGATCAGAGTTCTTCACGAAAAACCCAGAAGAAAGATGTGATGCTCAACGAGTCCTTAGAGCGAGCAGAACCCACTGGGCTCCTTTTGCACGCGACAGGGAAAAGAGGAAGATTTACTGGCGCCCTATCGAACCACACCATGATCAACGGGACAACAGGTGACAGGTGACAGGTGTTTAGTTCAACGGTACAAAGTCCAGAAATCATTTATGATCAGGGAAAAGAGGCCTTCTATTTTTGTGGCATACATTATACAAGTGCACCTGTACATGTATGCAGGTTATCTCTATACGAGGAGTGAATATCAATTTGTCACAGCAGGAAAACCGAATCCATCATTTAAAGCTAAATCACTGCGTAAGTAGAACGTTAATTCTGATTAGTGGTACACCTCTTGTCTACGATGGAAGTATGTACCCCGCATGCTCCTTACTTAGCCAGTTGAAAATGCCTGTTTAACTGGAGATTCGTAAATGTATATATACATATATATATTTACACGTATATATATATATATATATATATACATGCGTCTATGTACACCGTGTAAAAGTCGGTTTTACTAAGGAAACTCTGGTTATGGCGGTGCCAGTAGCCATTAGTAGTAAGGCAAATATTTCCAATTCTTCAATTTCAATATATTGTCTAATTATGTAAGATGGCTACTGTGACTTCGAAACCAAAGAAATCATGTTTTTGAATGAAGATAGTGTTATCTTCAAGGTCCAAGGTGGTTGCACTGGCTTGTCGCAATCTCAGCTTAACTAGGTTAAATGCCAGTTTGTGTTCCTCCTATCATTCCCATTAACAACTAATTCTTAATAGCACCGTTAGAGTAAAAAAATTCCTGGGAAAAAGGCAAAGTAAGCGTCTCGGTGATGCAGTGCATAACACCTGAGCCCTCACGAAGGGTAACGGAGGTGTTTGAAGCTCACCTAGGTCTCGGAGTTTTACTCATATCTCAACACCATTGTGGTTATCATGTTGGACTTAAGTTTCTGTTCTTGGCAACTTGATACCCCTTCTTCATTTATGAGTTCGCCTTGGTTTTTTCTTCAAAGGCTTCAAATAACTTCTCTATAATAATAACTAATAAAATAACTTTTCTTCAAATAACACAGTTAGGAACTAACTACGACTATTGCTGAAAAACAACGTGAGCATACTAACGTTTATTGTTTCGACTCAGAATTGCAATAAAAACGTAGACATATTCAACTTGATTCATGTTGCAATTTAGTAACAGTACAAAAGGGGTAGGACGACAGAGATTACGAGAGGAGGGATGAAATACGACAGCGGCATTAGTGTGCATTGAAGCAACGCTCATACGTCAGCATGTGCCAGCATCTCCGTAGTAGTTGTCCTTTCTCATCCTATTGAACATTCCCTTGATGTATCTATTTTCTGCGTTCGACCTTGTATCAATCTGTAATAACCATTTCGATTGTTTTATAAATGGCATAAAATCACCGAACGGCAAAGCAAAGACGGAAACTTCAATGAATAGCCGGCCTATTCAACGACGTCGGGTGACCGACCGATGTGTCAAGTCAGTGTGGCTACCCTCGTAGGCAATTCTGGTACCAGTTTTTTGACCCTATATGATTGAATGGCTTGGTTCGAAGTATGGGGTCGAACCGGAGACCGATCCGTCCTGTAGAGCACCTGGAATCTCTACCTACTGCGCTACGCCCACCTCATTTTTCAACTTTATCACATGTTATTTTTAGGCACAAGGTCATCACTAGTTGTCGTTATTCAATCTGGATAAAATTTCACGCAAAGGAAAGTGGCACATGCTTTTGTTGGTTGGGTAATGGTGAACACTTAGCGACCCTTAACACTGTAATGCTGGATTGATGTAATTCTGACCATTTGTTGCACGTAATAATCTCTCCACTCAAGAACTTTCTATTGTGGCAGCAAGTATGTAGAGCACTTAAATGAGATGCGTCACGAAGAAGAGATATGAACAAAAAGCTTTTACTTCTACGAATAAAGAGTTACGGTTTTGTTGACGATTCTATTAAACTTACACCCCTCTTCCCAAAGCTCATACGAAATTGATGTGGATCAATTTTAAATCCTTCGAAGCGTTTTCCGAATCCTATGCGAAAAGCTTGTGGATCCATGGCATACCCGCTATTCATATAAGTCTCCGATTTCTGAAAATTGTTAACAAAATGGTCTTCATTGAGATACTAAAAATCAGCAACAGATATTGCTTAGGCTATTTTCAAGACACATATTCTAGATGATAAAGCTATGAGCATACCGGCCGTCGGTTTGGTAGAAGATTTTTGAACGTAAATTTAGCAGTCCAATAAAATCTGTTCGTTTTACAACGTGTGTCCAGTTTAAAACGTTGCGTGCTGACTAGTGAAAACAACTATCTGAGCGATATTGTTAAATAGACAAACATCTTGTAATAGTTCCCAGGATCGACTTTCTATTAACCTCGGCATTGGCCAAAATCCTACAATGAATAGCAGGAATGAAAGCCCGGAGGTCATACGCGACCTGACCCCGTATGTTCGCATCGATTTTTGTTGTGGGATGGTGCAGTCATCAACCATATGCAACTATAATCAGCTGTTCTAACCTTCCTCATTGGAAGCCACGTAAAAAGCGGTGAGTTTTTCGAGAAGCTGTTGATCATGTAATTACCATAGAGTTTTTCGTCTTTTTGTAAGTGTTAATGAAGCGTTTGGCCTAGTAGACTGCATGTCAGTATACCCTTCCAGGCTCTGAAGAAGGCGATACTGCCGAAACGTCAGCTAGTGTTGTATTACATTGTGTTTCTCTATGGAAATAAATGTATGCTGTTTAAAAACCTCGCGATTGCTGAACAAGAAAACGACGTAGACAAACATCCTTTGAATGATCATTCTTTATGTGGAAAAACTTGATACCTCGCTGGATACGAACAATGTGGGAACTATAGCATAAAAGACTAGTCGGTTTTCTTCCTTAAATTTTTCATTTACTCCACCTTTCGACGTGATTTTATGAAATTCTACAAAGATTGTAAATGCGTCGTTTTCCAACCAGCAATCGCTAAGTTGTTATACAGATACATTTCCTTCTATCAAAAACACACAATACAATATCAGCTGACGTTTTGGCAATATCGCCTTCTCCAGAGCCTGGAAAGGTATACTGATATACGATTTACTAGGCCAAACGTTTCAATAACCACACAAAAAAACGAAAACTCTATGGCAATTACATGCTTTAGTAGCTTCTCGAAAAACTCCCAGCTTTTTACGTGACTTCCAATGAGGAAGATTAGAACAGCTGATTATAGTCGCATATGGCTGATGACTGACCATCCCACTTCAGAAACTAATGCGAACATATGGGGCCAGGTCATGTATGACCTCTGGGCATTCCTCCCTGCTATTCATTGTAGGGTTGCAGAAGAGGGCGATACAACCGAAGCGTCAGCTACTGTTGTATTGTGTGCCTTTGCATCGAAGTAAATGTATCTATATAACAACCTCGCGATTGGTGAACAAGAAAACGACGCATTTATAATCCAATGTCGAGGTTAATAGAAAGTCGATCCTGGGAGCTTTATAAAGATTCTTCGCTGTAAATATTTATCTGTGAGCAGCTGACAAAACACATGCTACGGTTTTCAAAGTAGGCAATTTCGTACAAATTATATCTCTAGGATATGGAACACCGTCCGTTTGTCACGTTGGACACCCCGGAACCGGTTTTGCCAATTCAGAATAAGTGAATTATCCATGCTCTCCAGTTGAGCACTGTGAATTCGTCCCCATACTCCACTGCATTAGTGGCACTTCATGAAAGTATCACTTCCTTTATGCAGTCTTCGTTCCGGACCTCCAATTATCCACTGGAGGAAGACCCCTCTGGAATCTTCCTCTGAAGCTCTACTTGCGATAGAAACCACTAAGAGAGACACAGCATCAAAGCTCTCTGCCGGGAGTGCCACCTTCTCCGCTTTCTAACTTCTCTCGACTGCGAAAAAGCGTCCCCAAAATCGAAACGAATGCAGTCCTATTCGCACTCGTCATTCAAGGTAGCATCCATTCTACATAAAAACTCCAGCTGACTGTCATCGTAACTGCTTAATTTCAAAGCCATTACACGTCGTCCAACTTTGCGCAGCTTAATTGATTAGGGTTAAATTAGGTACTACAGGACAAATTTGATGGCAACAGTTGTTTGTGCTCTAGTAACACTACAATTTTGATCAAGCAATAACGTGTGAAGCTGTCAGAACCTCCTATCTGGCTGATTTTTGTTAGTGTGTGGTCCATCAAACGGATGTCACGTTCAGAAACTCAGCACTGAGACCAACGGCTTTAGTCTGTGCAGATCTGGATTCCTATTCGATATGAACACATGATGTCATGGGGAACATCTGTACAATGGCTTCATTTTCATATAATACATATTAAGCAAATGTCCTCTCAACGGTTTACCGCCTCATCGTGGTTGGGAGGTGTTCCTGGGTGTCGGACTGGGATGTACAGCAGGGGATTCGACCCCCCCCCCCCCCCCGGCAGGGTCTCCCAAGCTGAAAAGGAGTTCCGGGTTTCCATCAGGAAGCCCATCTAAGAGTTAACCAATACCCGGATCCACCACCGTCCTGGTATCAAAGTCGCATGGTGGTAAATCTCCCTCTGATCCACAAGGGCTGTGAAGACCTGGGGTAGACTCTGGCCAGGCTGACCTCGGGATTCCAGCGAACCATAATGGATTAACCAACAAATGTCCGAAAAATTGTGATTATGCTGCGGCCTGCACAACCATTGAGGACGGGCCGTTCACGTTCAAGGTCAAATTCAAGTTCAATTAAGCAAATGTGCAACAGAAGCGCAATGTTTTCGCTTTTAATCAGATTCATTGGGGCGAACAAAAATAATTATCTGCTGCTTATGAACTTATTAAAGCAATAAGAACGCGGATTTCGTTCATACAAAGTTTAATGGTGATGCAGTTAATGATTTATGGGTAAACAATTTCATCTAGCAGTAAATGAACCCAGAGGGCAACTGCCGCTCAATTTCGCATCTACAGAAAAAATTTATAATAGATGCCTTTGTAATGCAGTTTACCTGTGAAAATGCCACAGCGGTCATCAAAAGCGACAGAATAACAACTAGAATGCTGTCCATTTAGTAGACCTGGAAATCTCAGTTCATTAACAGAGGAAAACCTTCGAAAACACGTATGAACTTTTTCGGAAACAATTTCAAGCTGCGTGCACATGTGAAACAAGCCGAAACAAATATAAGCCTGCCAACGCATTGAATATCTGGCAGACTTTAAGGGGAGTTAGACGATCTTGAACGTGAATATTTGGAAATCGGCTTCTGACGCTCGAATAGAGTGTGGATGAACTAGAGATTGAAATCCAGGCTGCGCAACCACTGCAAATCGTTTGATACATAAGCAACTTTGTGAGGTAACGGGGATAGCGTCTCTGCACTCTTCCATCAAGAGTCTCTACTGCGAAAAGAACAAAATCTTTCAAGAAAAATTTTTTAGCTCTCCATCAAGTGTAGAAAATAGTTCATTTGAGGCGGAGTTATCACAAGATTTGCAATGAGCAAGTTTTGGAATAAAGACAAAAAAAATATTGCAGGATGAATAATCGAGAAGGAAATAAATTATATATGATAGACATTGGCCACAATTCTTTTCCTCCAGTTATGGTTCATATATGATTCCAAGCTTCGCGTATATGTAAAGTAATGGAAATTGAGTCGTTGGTAATGGAGACCTTTGGCACTGAAATCGCCATAGTATGAATGACACACCCACGCGCACGCACATACACCTATACTCACACAGACACACCACACCACACATACACGCATGCACACACACACACACACACACACACACACACAC